TCAAGAATTAACTGTTTCCTACATAACTTCATCTGCATTTCTTGTCTTCTCTTATGTTCATACAACACCATACTGTAAGCCTCTACCTTGAGTGGCTCTTGGGCCTTGTATTGGGTGACCATTAGTATAAATAAAGAAAAAGATACTTTAAGTTTTGTATATTGTGTGTGTGTGTGTGTATATATATATATATATATATATATATATATATATATATATATATATAAATAGTCATCCAGTGTGGCTAGACGTCCAATTGCTTCAAGCTATGATCGAAACCCAACTGATTTGACATCAGTCTGATATCTTACCTCTAGGCCATCATCACACAGCAGAAATGAAGGGAATTTTAATGTTTTCTCTATGAAAAATAAAGCAGCAGCTTGGAGAACTCAATTCAATTTACTTGAAGAGTACTGCTTAATAGCAGTAGGAGCTGCTGTTTATTAAAACTCCCTTTCTCTAGAGAGTTCAACCAGATTTTCAGGAGCATATATAGTCATCCACAGACTGTTTCACTGTATCACACCTCCTCAGTGTGGCTATATATATATATATATATATATATATATATATATATATATTCAAAATTATAACATAAATATGTTATAAAATCACTACAAAAATAGCCATTTTGTTTCAACACTTCTGGTGTCTTATCAAGTGATGCTGTTGAATGTAGAATAAAGGGTTTTAAAAGGTTCAAATCAATCCAACATCCCATATATATATATATATATATAAATATATATTAAAGACATTTTTATGTTTAACGTTCTTTTTTATAGATACAAGTATTTAAGTAAATGCTCTGTTTATAATAAACAGTATTAAATAACATTTACCGGCCTGAATGTCCGAGAAATTTTCATAGAAAATATTCGTCCTTTGACGAAAATTTCTCAGACATTCAGGCCGGTAAATGTTATTTAATACTGTTTATTATAAACAGAGCATTTACTTAAATACTTGTATCTATAAAAAAGAACGTTAAACATAAAAATGTCTTTAATTAATAAATTGTTGGACTTTGTCCATTTCTTAATATATATATATATATATATATATATATATATATGTGTGTGTGTGTGTGGTATGGTAGCATTTTTCAATATATGAGTGCCTAACAGTTAATTTTTACAACTAAACCACCATACTACCCACACATTTACTCATGGTGGTGAAGACATGTCAAATCTGCTACATTTTATGAAAAAGACTTCACACCAGTTATCTGTTATCAGTGTGTTCAAACAGGCCACCTCAGATTTTCTCCTAGGCTGTTGTTTGCCAACCAATGTGGGAGAGAGCCTTGTCTGTCCTGCTATTTAACCCACAGTTCATCATTAGTGGGTGAAGCACAGAAGAAACGTTCATACTGTTGTTAAGATTATTTGTGCAAAAGTTAATGTAACAAAGTCGGCCAGTATTTTAACTTTACGTATATAATGAAATGGATTAAGTCCGACAATTATAAATATATTTTCTGTTCGTATGTTCCTATTATAGATACAATTTATTTAAGAAAATGCTTTGTTTTTAATTAAACAGTATTTATTACATTTACCAGCCGAAACGTTCAAGAAATTTTGTAGAAAATGAGTTTTCCAACAGGAATCAAACCTGTATTCCTATACAGAAACTGTCATTTGACCTGATATATTGTACCATTCAGCTACAGAGAAGCATCTGGTTAGCAGAATCTGAATTACTGTTTATAAACACATAATCTTTGATGATTTTTCTTGATCTATCATTTCTGCTCACAAAATGTATCTTAACATAAACAATGATAACATATAATGAAATGGATTAAGTCAAACAATTATTTGATATATTTTCTGTTTACAGAGCATTTACTTAAATAAATTGTATCTATAAAATTAATGTATAAACAGAAAATATATATATTATATGAAATAACAATATATATTTTTATATATCGAGAACAGCATTGAAGAAATTGTAAGACAAGATGGAAAAAGTTTATTTGTGACACATTTCATCCATTAGGACTTCATCAGACTGGGTTTGTTGACATTGTTGTGACTACACACACACATGAATGACAGATGATGGTAGTTTCAAAATTTTTTTAAATAACTTTTACAATCTAGCCAAATTTATCTATATTCTTTTTCTTCATGCGCATGTATAGTCGCAACATCAACAAACCCAATCCAATGTAGTCCTAATGGATGAATCATGTCACAAATAAACTCTTTCCATTTTGTCTTACAATGTATATACTGGCAAGTTTTAATCAGTTTTTCTTGGCAGATTAATTTCCATATCTTAGTTTTAAAGGTCTAGAGCAAGTATCAACCATTCTTATTAAAGTTCTGAGCTTTTGACTTATGAGAGTCCATTATCAAGAATAAAAGAAATTAAATAAAACTCAGAATCTGTTCAATGATTGTTTGCCTCTTTGTGATGAGTTTGAATTTTAAGTTTTGAATATTTTTTAAATAAAATGGACCTTATATTTTTAGGTTTAAAACTTTAATGATACTCATCCCAAGTAAGACGCTAAACTACGTCCAACAGCAAGGACTCTGACCAGGAGGTTTTGAGGAGCGTGGAACCACCTCTTAATTGCTAGTGTTCCCAGGTCTACCTTGACTCGGGGTAGTAGTACCTGTTAGGGTCCCAGCTATGAGCAAATAGTTAACCCACAAACTGTGGTCAAAATGCTATGAAAGTGTAAAAATAGGTTTTAATACCAAAAAATACTTTGTAAAAAAAACATTACCAGAAATACATTTTGAGAAAAAAAAAATATTACCAGCAATAAAAATTGCTGGCATTAAATAACCCATTGAGGTCGATATACCATAAAACAAACTAAACCAAACTTTAATGATACATGGTTCTGATTCTTGGAATTTCAATCCATTTCAGCACCATAAGTGGTTTTGTTGAGCATCGAATATTTTGAGTTAATATGAATAGTTTGGATCTCACCTTTCTGTTGTTTTCAACAAAATTTGTTTAAACATTTTCTCCTTTGATACACTCCATAGATTTCTATACACAAGGCTGTTACAAATATTTATACAACTGAATATTAATGCTTTTCCAAGTACAGAAATGCACCAACATGCATAAAGCTTGTTAGAAAAGAATCCTACCAAACCTGCTACTTCAAAAATTTAAGTCATCCATGACAGCTTTAACTGCAAAACCACAACACATATTTGCTATTATTTTTGCTTCAGTAGATTTCAAATAAGACTAAATCCATTTTAATAAAATTAAATTCATTGGCTTTCAGTCAGTTATGTGCCATGCATGATACACGCTTAGGTGATCATGTACCTTTTGATACATGACTGATGAGGCAGATTTTTTTTTTTCCCCACAGTAGGTTGCCATTTCTTTTTGCGGTAGACCAGTTGCCATCCAAGGCTATAGAGACCCAGCCTATCCTGCTATTTACCCATAACTGGGTGGAGAAGAAGATTTATACTCTTTCCCAAATAAGCACATAAGTAAATGAAATGGATTTGACTGAAATTCGAACCCAGCTCTCCAATTCCTTAATCCAAGCTGCTATCCATTACTCCACTGTATCCCCATTGGCTTTACTCGGTTGTAATACAAGAAAAAAATTCATAAATCTTTGGTGCCTCTTCAGAAAAATTTATCAGCTTCTTCAACTTCCCATCAGTTCAATCTGGCTTGAGTCAACAATTCCTTGTCATTAGTGATAAGAATGCAAATATTATATTTTATTTACAATAATTTCACTTCTTGCTGCTTGTTCTGCAAATGTCATATTGTTTAAATTTAATCAGTTCTATAAATATTAGCCATCTAAATCCAGAAATGTCTGTACTTTGCATTTTATATTTTTGCTCTTTTTTAAAATAAAGGTTTTATTTGTTACTGTAGATTTTGACCATTGATTTGCTGCCAAAATGATAATACTCATTTATGCAATATGTTTGAGAATCTTTCACTCCAAGGCCCTACAAGAACATATGGTGTTATTTGTATAATTACAATAAAGAAACCTTTTTTTCCACATAAAACTACTTCATACAAGAAGCCATTTTGATTTCACTGATACTTCAATGATGAACTGTTTTAAATCTAAATCATGACAAGAAAATTCTGCTCAACTTGATAAAAATGTCATTCTAAAAACGTTTTTGGTTCTTTGAATTTCTTGGCTTGAATCCTTTTCCTTTTATGTTTTCTTCATAATCCAAGGGTTAGAAGTGTAAAAGACTATGAGTGAAATAATGGTGATAAGAATTTTGAACCATATCAAATACTGATAATCCTTGTGAGTCAATCCAAAAAGGGGAAGTCTATATTCTAAATTCATCTGAAATTATTTTATTATGAGTGTATTGTACTGAAACATTTCAAATAGTAACATATCACATACACTCCTAAGATAAATTGAATTTGATATTTATATTAATATAAGAACTTTATAGATTTATCAGCAGGACTTGTACCATCCCAAAGGATTTGTTCAAAGTTTTCTTTTTGAAGCCAAACTCTCCTCATAGAATAAAGTCATAATATATAACTCACCCACTCCTCAAATGGTTTTAAAATGCTTTGATTCATTCCACCCAAGCCACTTGAAATGATTTTGAAAAGAAGCATCATGGGAAACAAACCAATGGAAAAAATTTCAAAGGACTATCAGAACAATTACTAAAAAGGCTACAAAATTCATCATCTTTGTTAAATTGGCCACAATATAAACAGTTATAGGGTTAGTCTTGGTTTTGATTTTTTAACTATCATTTCAGCTAAAACATTCTTTTAGTCTTTCTCAGGCATATGTTCTTTAGAATTTCATCTTAAAACAATCAATGACAGTCAAAGTTACAGAAAGCAACATTTAGGATTTGATCAGCAATTTTATATAAAATAGAAATGTTTTCAATGTATAAGAGTCAGTAAAATTCAGAGGTCAAGAAATGTTAAGTGACTGAGCAAAATCCAGGCATTAGGTGATCAGTTAAAAAAAAAAAAGCATGATTTTTTTTTTTTTCATTTCTTTTTCATTTTTTTTTTTTTTTTTTGTCTTTTTTTTGTGTCTTTTTTTTTCTTTTTTTGTGTCTTTTTTGTGTCTTTTTTTTGTGTTTTTTTTTGTGTCTTTTTTTTTTTTCTGTCTTTTTTTTGTCTGTCTTTTTTTTGTCTGTCTTTTTTTTTCTGTCTGTCTTTTTTTTTGTCTGTCTTTTTTTTTGTCTGTCTTTTTTTTTGTCTGTCTTTTTTTTTTGTCTGTCTTTTTTTTTTTGTGTGTTTTTTTTTTGTCTGTCTTTTTTTTGTCTGTCTTTTTTTTTTTGTCTGTCTTTTTTTTTTGTCTGTTTTTTTTGTCTGTCTTTTTTTTTTTGTCTGTCTTTTTTTTTTTGTCTGTCTTTTTTTTAACATTTTTGTTTTATGTATGTTTGATGGTTTGTTTTGTTTATTTTATTTTATTTTTTTAATATGTTGGCTTCTGAAAATTGAAAAAATGTTGTAACTGCTATGCCTGGTCAACTCCTTCAACATTATGATACCGACAAAGATTCTTTGAAAATTTTTCTCATTCAATTTTTAAAACCAACATTATTCCATGGAAACCGTTTTTATTTTTTCTTAAAGAAAAAATTTTTCTTTGTACCATAATATGAGTGAATTTTTATTAAAATTATTTGCCTGGAGATGAAACGAGTGACAAATTGAATTCTAATTAAAATTTGATTTCAATTAGCTTAAAGGCATTTTAACATTTTTGTTTTTCTATTTTAGTATTTTTTCTCATCTTGTTTGCTGTTTAGTTAAAACAATTTCCTTAGTCATATCTTTTAGATTTTACATATTAAGTATATGAAATCTAAAATCTGATCTGCAACATATGAAACCTTCTAGTTTCTACTTGTTATGGAGTGATTTCACAGTGGAGGCTTGTATTTGTACTAAGTCGGTCCTAAAATAGGTTCGACATACAAAACGTTAGGAACTTCATATAATAGGTATGACGCAGAGTAATTTAGTTGTGGTCGCTGATACTTTAGTATCCAACTAACGGTCATCTGGCATTGACTAACTGACTGACTCGTTACTCTGACTACTTCTACTTATTATAGGTGGGAGAGTTTATTATTATGTTCCACTATAACACTGACTTTAAAATGTATGTCTTCTGTTGTTGTGAATCACTGGTCAGATTCTTAGTAACTGAAGCTGTCTTTAAATTTATTCTTGATAAGATTAGAAGTAACTCAAGTTAAACAAAAGTTAATTTCTTCATAACCAAACATCTACAGCTTAAGGGAGTGTTAATTTACCAAAAGTATTATCTGCAGGTAGAATAAACATAATCAGTAAGTTGATATTAAATTCCAGCTTGGTGCAAAATTGAATGCAACAGATTAATCACCTTGGGAAAGGCATGAATCCCTTTCCTTCTCCTCCCCTAACTATGGGTTAAATAGGGTAGAATAGACCTATTGCTTTCAGTGGCAGTCGGTCAAGGAGAGTGAAAAAGGTTACAGGAAACTATTCCACTCTCTTTCACAAGAAGTTATGGAAATTCACAGATAATAAAGCTATAGAGAGCCATGATCATCTACATTCTGGAGAGACATATCTTAAAAAATATAGTTGCATGAATTCTGAAATGTATTTTTGTTATTGATACTTTGATTGATTTTCTTTCTTTCCATCTTTATGATGTTTTAATTCAAAAATTCCTTTTGATTATTTAAATTGTATGAAGAGGAAAGAAAGTAACATCTTCCGATCATGCATGAACTCATACGCTATAAATCATCTTCAATGGATAATATTTTTACATTCCCCAAGTCTTATTGCTTTTTTAAATCCAGTCAACTCCAAATACTATACCACTTTGTTTCTTAAGAAAGCTAAAATTGGAAGATGAACTTTGTATTTTGAAACTTCCTCTTACTATGAATTATTTTTTACCATTGACACTTTAATTAAATTTTCAAAATCATATTTAGCTTTGAACATTATCTGGAATTTTAATGAGAAACACAATCAAAATAATTATAAATTTTGTATTTGTAAAACTTGACAGGAAAACCTGAAATCACAGCAGTGACCAAAAACTTCTTGAAATTTTAGGTCTTTTATTTCAACCATAAACATCTACTTGCATTATTTACCTTACTCGAACTGTTATCCTCATCTTCATTGCCCTATTCACAATGCTTTAAGGGAAAACAAGCAAATATTTTATTATTAGATGTTTATGTCTTTCTATGTCTCTGAGATGAGTTATTATGATTACTTGCATTATTTACATTACTCAGACTGTTATCCTCATCTTCATTGCCATAGTTACAATTGGCGTTCTTCAGGTGATTGGAATGAATTTCAAACGGAACCCTTTACTTCATCCACCGGGGTAAATTGTTCTAGTTCCATGTTCCATGCCTCTTCTGGATGTCTCAGTTATTTCCCTTTAACTCAACTCTCTCAATGGACGAAATAAAGGTTTGGGTTAGAAATTAAAAAAAAAAGTCCGGAGTATACAACAGTCGAAATGTTGTGAATATGGCAATGAAGATGAGGTTAATAGTACAAGTAATGCAAATAATGCACGTAATCATAATACCTCATCTTGGAGATATAAATGTCTAATGTAAAATATTTGCTTGTTTTTCCCTTAAAGCAGTAATTCCTTACTGTAACATTTCCTATACTGATAGCTTGTCAGACTTCATTTCTATCTCTCTCTCTCTCTCGCACACACACACACACTCTCTCTCTCTCTCTCTCTCTCTATATATATATATATACACACACACACACACACATTCGTTCTCTCTCTCCTCTTTCTCCTCCCTTCTATCTTGTAATGATGCTCAAATTGAAAATAACTTTAATGTTGAGAAGCAGTCACAATTTTGACCTAACCTGATAATTTTGCAAATTCTTTTTCATTTGTTGAATTCCTATTTCTACCAAATTGTCTCCAAATCAATTCCTATCTTTAAATAACAGAAGAAAACGAGATCTGCTTTTTCATGGTTTAATTATTTTCTAAAGTTTTCTGCAAATGTGTTTAAATTTTCTTCAGTATTCTTTACAGCTATTTTCACTTCACATTTAAACTGTAATTTTTGACAGGCAAAAAGTTCAAATGTATAAATGAGCTTACATATTTATCTATCATCAGTTTGAAAGGTCTGCTCTGCTAGGGATATGAGCTATGAGTGATTGTTTTCATTTTATGCCAGTCCTGAAGCTTAAGGTGTGTTAGATCATGAAAACACTTTATTATACAAGAACCTAAACCCCATAGTAAAAATTAAAAACAGTTCTGGTTTGGACCTCTGAAATTATAATAAACAGACACAAAGGGGGTGCTGAAAAGGTCTCAGATGAGCCCACTTCCAAAAAAATTAGTAATTAGAACTTTTTTCTTTTTTTTTCTTTTTGATGGTTAAAGAAAATTGTACTAACATCCACAGCTCATAAGGCTGAATTCTTTGCCCAGAAATTCTCATCCAACTCATCACTCGACTTGTCTAGAATACCCTCACCTGATTCCTCCCACTAGAACTGCTGAGTGAGATGAGCATAACTCTCTCAGTGGTATTGGACATCATCTCTAAATTCGACTCTCATAAAGTAAGTGGTGGTGGTGATGGTATACCAGCCGTAGTCCTAAGAAATGTGCTCCTGAGCTATCTCCAGTTCTCTCCAAACTACACTATTGCTTCGCTCATTCTTGCTTTCCAGCCTCTTGAAAGATCTGATCTGTTGTCCCTGTTTTTAAGAACTCTGGAGACCCTTCTGACCCATCTAACTACTGTCCTATCAATTTCCTACCACTCATCAAGGTTTTAATCGATACGGAAGTAGTTAAGTACCTTACCTCCCATGACAAACAATATGGTTTCCACTTTGCCCGGTCTACTGCTGACATGCTTACAGCCATAATTGAATTTGTATACCAAGCTCTTGATAATAACAGCGAAGCTTGAGCCAAGGCTCTTGATATCTCAGGCATTTGACAGAGTTTGGCATGCCAGCCTCCTATGTAAGCTTCAGGGATATTGTATTACAGGATGATTATTTGATTTAATCCAATCATTCCTGTCTAACCATGAAATGAAGGTTGTCTTGAATGGGTTTTCTTCCAGTTTCTTTCATACAAATGCTGGTGTTCCTCAAGGCTCTATCCTGGGTCATACACTGTTTCTGATCTTCATCTTAGATCTTCCAAATGTCATCAGTTCTCAAATAAGCTTCTACACAGTAAACACTACCATTTACTCCTGTCTCAATAGCAAATCCAGCATTGCTGAGAGAGTTAACCCGGCTGTTGGTCTTGAAAAGGACCTCCAATCTGCAGTTGACCGGAGCAAGAAATAGCTTGTAAATTTTAATTCCTCCAAAACGAAATTGCTCTAATTTACCCACCATAGAGAAACCTGCCTGCCTTCTATCCGTATGGCTGATGCTCAACTTCACATGAGTGTGCCTCCTTGGTCTCATGTTTTCCACTGACCTGAGGTGAAACAACTACATTAAATCAATAGCTACACCTACCGCAAGGAAAGTTGGTTCTCTGTGTCATGCCAGAGGGTTTTTCTCATCTGAGTTCATCCTTCAAATTTACAAATCTTCCATTCATCCTTGCATTGAATATTGTTGCCATATATGGTCTGGTATTCCTGCTGTTCATCTTAAGGTACTCAATAAAATCCAAAGATGGATATTCAGTGTGATCAGTCCTAACCTGTCAACTCAACTCTAGTCACTTTTTCACAGACATGTTGTGGCTTCCTTCTGTTTTTTTCTAGAAATATTTTCATGGCAACTGCTCTGACAAGCTATTTTCAGTGGTGCCCCAACTGCATGAATTTAAGCATGCTACTAGATTGGCATTTTGGTCCCACCCTTTCACTGTTAAATGTAAATCTACTCTAACAGCTTCTTTTCTTGGACTTCCCAACAGTGGAACTTCCTTCCTCTTACATACTTTCTTCTTTGATAACTATAATCTTCAAAGATTTAAATGTAATGTCAATCAACATTTCTTTATCCTTTCCTCAATCCTCCCTTCTTTTCTCTTATGTTCAATCTCCATAACCCCTTGGGTGCTAGTGGCACTCCTGCCTTGCTTGGGGTGAAATGCTTAAAAATATACATTTTGTTACTTGTGGTCATTCTTATTAGATCAAAGATTTTTCAGTACCCTTTTGTGTGTATGTGTTATGTATAATATATAGTTTTTTTTTATGCAGTTTCCCCTCAGGTTAGGTGATCATGGCTTTCCACAGTTTTCTTTTCTTCATTATCTGTATATTGCTATGACTTTTTGGAAAAAATAATGGAGCAGGTTTCCACTGCCTCCTCCATTTTTTTTTTTAATTCATATATTTATCCACTTTAGAAATGCACTCACAAGGATCTCACCTGAAAATACAAGGTGAGAAATACTGCAGAGGTCATCACAAATATCTTT